GAGCAGGCATGTTTGTCAGTTTTTAGAAAAAGAAATAAAATTCACCTAATGAAATATTATGACTATAAATTACAAGTAAGCTGTACCCATAATCTGCTTCTAAAATGTATTGGAATTCGCCTAATTTTATCGTTTTAGTTATTCACTTTCAAACTAGCCCCCTCCATCAGTGCGCGTTAATGCAACTGTTCACTCCTTCATGCCTTTCGATATTTCCTGTCCCCAAAATTTTTTTTTCCTGATCAAAAGTAAGTGTGGATTCATTTATGCCGGACACCAGAGAATGGCATATAAAAGCATTAGTTGATTGAAAAATGTCGACCAGCCACCCTTTGGTCTATCTTTCTGAAATCACCCTACTACTATTACATGAAATCATTCAGGTGGATTCTGTAAAGCAGGTGGAAACAAATCGAAATTACTAATAGTGGCTATTAAAGAGGGGGGGGGGGGGGCGGTTTTAGTCATTAGATGTGCGTAGGATGAAAGAAAAAAACGCGATTAGTATTGCATGAAATTACCCCTACTTTATGAAGGTAATCCACGCGTGACGATGTATAAGAAGGTGGTGCTAACAGTTCATCACTTAAAGTGGTGTGATAAAAATGTTTTCGGAATAAGCAAAGTCGTGCATTTTTGCGTCGTGATCCTAGTGATTAAAAACACAGGTTAGATCTCATTGAGGACACACTAGCAGCTCTTTGGTAGTTAGAGTATATAAATCAGGCTGAGTTATTTTGAACCATTCCAACTGGTTAACAAGAATTCAGACGACCCAAAATCGGTGAAGCATATTCTAGTTGTGAACACACGATTGTTTTGTAGAACAATAACTTAATAGAAGAAGGAGCCCAGTACAAATTACATTTTAAGTATCCTAGCATAATGCACGTTAGCTGTGTTATGAAATTTATGTGAATGTACCAAGCTAACATTAGAAGTAATATTAACGCCTAAATACTTGTATGATTCGACGAATCCGAGCGGGCTACTATAGGCAACCTGCAATGCTGTTTGGTTTGGCGCCATCTAGTGTCTGAAGCAAGGAATACTGGGTATCCCAGGAAGCCGTGATCGCGTAACGTGCCAGTAGAACGGAAGCTACGGCCCTGGCGGGCCAATCGGAACGTGACTGCGTATCACCGGAGCGCGCCTCAACTCCGACGAAGTATCAGGCTTTTCGCTGCGTCATGCTCCAATATGTGTGCGTTGCGCTCGTATGGACCGACACGTTGTTTACAAACAATGCCGCGTTTCCCCACACCAGGTGTGGGCACTGCGCGTGCGCAGAAATCAAATTCGCGGGAAGTGAAGCGTCTGCGCATGCGCAGTGCCGTTGACAGCGCCACCGCAGCTGCGTGACGTCAGGGCCGCGTGTTGGTCTGTACGTCGCGCATTTCGAAGCCTTCGGCACGCAATGTGGGGCTTATCGTTCGCCGTTTGCCAAGTTACAACGAGACAGGGTATAACCGTGCGCTCTCACTCTGCTGGCGCCGCCTGGCCGTTGCCGGCTGTCTATCAAGGTGATATGTGGATAAGTTAGCGTGGCAGCGAGAGATTCGCATGCATTTGCACTTGTTAACATTTAGCGTCGTATGCCACGTCGGGCACCAAGAAGTGATAGCGTTATTATCAGATTGCAGCGCACGCACATCCCTGCTATACTTCGTTTCAGCTTCGGTCTGAGCACGGCCGATGTTATGAGCCGAAGGGCCAATCAGACAGCGAAAGAGGCGCACAACGTCATGGTGTGCTCTCTGCAGTTGATAGGACCAACCGGTATTCGCCGTCTCTCTGTGCGCGCTCCTCCGCCGGCTAGTCCTATCAAGCGCAGACAGCACGCCATGACGCTGTGCTTTTCGCGCTGTTTGATTGGCCCTTCGGCTCCTAACATCGGCCACGCTCGGGCCGAAGCTGAAACTAAGTATAGTGGTTATTTCCCGGAAAAGAACACACTCATCTGAGAATAGATGGATCAAAGATGGTACACAGTTTGGCAGGTCGTTAATATAAACAAAACAGCACTTGTCCATGGACAGTACCTTAGGGTACGCTAGAGGTTACAGGGCGAAAATCTGAGCTGACGTCATAACCGGTAACGAATTACTGACGATAGGTTAGAAAGCACTCAAGCCGTTTTAGTATGTTACTTTCAATGCCTATTTTTCTCATTTTAATAGCAGGAGCTGGTAAGATCGGAGGCCTTCTCGAAATCTAAATATATACAGTCAGCGAGTAAGATTTGAATAAAAAGAAATGAGTCTCGTATGAAAGTGATTTGCGAAATGCGTGTTCAGCGCGGTGAAAAATGAATTTGATTCAAAATAATTTGTGATCAAGAGAGAAGCAGGTGTTTGAGAATCTTGCATTGGACGCTAGTGATTGCCTGTAGCTGTAGGGTGAATGTTTACTGCTATTGTTATGTACGGGAACCACCCTAGCTCACCAGAGTCCAGTGATTGCTGAAAACGTTTAGCGAAAGCGGCAGAAGGATATATCTATTTTTTTAAGCATAGGAGTAATACAATTAACACCAGCGGAAGAGAAAGGTTTGGGAGAGTCAATAGCTTTAGCGATACCATTATCCTTAATCAACACGGGGTTTATGAGTAAATACTCACAATTACTAAATAAAGGCAAAACAGCAGAAGAAACAACCCAAAGGGCACTAGGAAACACGTTCATTTCTAGTGCTTTCTTCTAGTAGGAACTCAACGTGCCTCCTCGTAGTTCCTACTAGTATTTGAGAAGAGTACTTCCAAGCCTGTGACGACGACCCGACATCTGGTCACCTTGGCTATCACAGGACTCTCGCGAGGATCCGAGAGAAGTACTGCTGGACCAAGCTCCCGAAAACTGTCCACCTCTACACACGATCGTGCCACGGGTGCCAGCGACGGAAGGAACCACCGACAAAACCAGCAGGCCTCCTGCAGCCGATCGCGCCCCCGACTGCACCGTTCCAGCAGATTGGAATGGACCTACTTAGACCTTTCCCGCCGTCGACGAAGGGAAACCATTAAATAATTGTGGCAACTGATTATCTCACCCGGTACGCCGTAACAAAAGCACTCCCGTCGGGAACCGCCGTGGTAGTAGCCAAGCTCTTTGTTGAGGCTATCGTCCTCCGACACGGCGCTCCCCAAGTCCTGATTACCGACCGAGGCTCCTCATTCATGGTGCAACTAAAACAAGAGTTACCCCGCCTGAGCCACACCGACCAACGGGCTAAAGAAGCGATTAAACAAGACCATCGCCAACATAATTTTGATGTAAAAAAAAATTGGGTTGTGTTTATGTTTATACAGCCTAGAACGTGGTCTGCCTCGACGGGCGACGAGTCTCCCAGCTGTAGATGAGCAATTTAGCCAGTGCAGTACAACCGCTAGCCTGGGGTCTTTAACGTGCTCCACGCAGTAGTGATACACGACCGCACGCCGGTACGATGCTCATCCAGATCGAAACGGGCAGGGGTGAGGATTGAACCCAGGATCCCCGAGTTCTGCAGCGCGAGCTTTCGCTTCACGTGCTCAGAGCTGGTGTGCGCTAGCTTACTCGGCCACCCGGCCATCAATCCCCCCGATCTTGATGTAAGTGGACGTTGATGTGGTACACAAGACGTAGGATGAGGTGTTGCTTTACATCACGTTTGTGTACAACACGGCGGTTCAAGGAACCACTGGGATTACACCTTTTTGAACTGGACCAAGGCAGAAATGTGACGACGATAATCGAAGCCATGCTGCCCCACAACCCGACGGACGACGGCACGGATCACGCCCAGCTCGTCACCTAACGGGTAGAAAGGTACGCCAGCTAGCCCGCCTTCGCATAAAGGACCAAGAACGTGTCGACGCTGGCCGTACTGCCCAGCGTCGACACGTTCTTCGTCGCGGCGACGTGGAGTTCCAGCCCGGAGACAAGCTGTGGGTGTGGACGCCCATTCGCCGCCGCGGCCACAGCGAGAAACTGCTAAAACGGTACTTTGTACCTCGTAGTTCAAGTTTCCAAAGCGTCATTCGCCGCTTTGGGAGCTTGCACTGCGAGGTGCTTCTCGACGGAACCCGACCATCAGGACGCCGCCAACCACGACCCGAAGTCGTCCACGTAGTTCGACTCAAGCCGTTCTACGCGCGTTAGGATTGTGACAATGCATATTTATTCGTGTCATCGTAAACGTTTTAGCCATTTTTGTTTTCCTTTCGCGTTGCATCGGGACGATGCGCTTTTAAAGGGTGTGTGTGTGGGGGGGGGGGGGGGGGGGGGGGTAATGCTGCACGCAGGGCCGAGAACGCAATGCTCGGTCACGCGCTTCTTGGAGATTCGCGTTTATTCTCGCTCCGGACGTGACTTCTATAATTTATTTCTGCTTTCTTTTTCTCGAAAGTGGGTGGCATTCTGGCCCCCGAGCGCACGAGGCTCGAACCTTTTTTGTCGACTCTCCGAGATAGGGACGCACTCTGGCATCTTCATTGGTGACGATATTATCTGCCGAGTAGGCTACGAGAGTTTTAGTTTGTCGATAATGGAACTTTTCTAGCGGGTGTTATTATTACAGGCGGCATGACGTCGGTTGGCAATGAGAAAGGAAAGGAAATCCTGTTGAAATTTTCAGCTGAAAACAGGGACACAAAAGTTGTTTAGGGTTGTTGCGCAGTCGCTCTCACTTATAGAGTCGTTCCAGTGATTGAAAATAAATGTTTCGTGATAGGAGCTGCCAAACTCGAGTTGGATTCGTGCAAAGAATTGAAGGCGTGTCGTCAGATGTGAATTTTGTTTAGAGAATTTAATGTTTTTTTTTTAAATTTTATTTTGAGAGTTTTTTTGTGTGCTTCCTCATCTTGAATGATGCCTGTACGTTTTGCTGAAATAAGGTATTGCTGTCGTTAACACATTTTTTCGGTTCGAGAATGTATGTGTCTCCACTATAAAGCAAAAGCAATCATATCACCAAATGCAAGTTGAAACTGTCGTTTTAAATAAGAACCTTGAAGAGCATGTGCGACCCTGAAATACTTCCAATTTTAACCACATCCAATCCGTACAACCTACACTTTTATTATTAATGACATTTTATTTCCCATTATTCAGAAATAAAAAAAATCGGCTTTATGTTCAGGTTACTATTCGTGTAATCCTGGTTAGATACTATCTTTGATGCGGATGATATGTTTTGGTCAACTACGTGTAATTTCCCCCACCGTTAATTGATTGGATACAAATATACCTAATAATTTGAGAGAAAAAATTTACAAGTGGGGGTGAGCCCTCGAGTAGTTAATTGTACCCTTGAGGTTCTCCCAATGTTTTTTTTTTTATCTTCATTGGGGCGAACATCTGAAATCTGGTTTTATTGCCATGGATATCGAGAAGACCTCTTGAAAACGCAGCCGGGTCACGCGTATTCTGCCGGCTCAGTCGCACAGCAGCTGCGATATCCCAATCTGCTTGACCTGCCTTCCCCGGAGCCTCTCGGGAGACTCGCATGGCGGAGACCTCCAGCTGTCTGGCACGGACCGCAGGAATCTTGCGTGGCAGTCGCAGTTCAGCGGGTTTCCTGCGGGTAAAACCATGTTCAACGAACTTTTAAGGTCTAAATGTGCCAAGCTGCTAGGACTCGGGAAAGCGCACCCGTTGAATGAATTGCAAGTACGTTAAACCACCGCGGAGCGCCCTCTGGGTATAAGAGAAGAACAAAATGACTTTCGTATGAGGCAATTACACAGATTTAGGGAGAGAACAGAAACGGACGGACGGACAAGGGAAGGATTGTTCTTTGACCGCGGTTTTAACTCTGTTGCATTACAACAACAAATTAAAAAAACTGGGAATAGCAATTTTTTGTTGTTGTTGTAATACTAGTGTTAGCGCAGAAAAATGTAATTTTATCAGAGCGTCGTTGATATTTTGTTCCGGTGTCGACAGTGACTATTCCTGTATTTCTACTACGAAAGGGGCATCAAGGCCTCAGAAGACCATCCGGTCTTTTGCCTTGATGCTACAAAATATCTCCATTGCCTAGAAGATACAGAATAATAAAAAAGTCAAAAGTAACACAGAGGGGAACTATGGAATTCTAAAAGCAGAAAGCTGCGACCCGATTCTGGGGAACTTAATGCAGTTTTTGCAAATTGATACCGCTTTGAGAGCGCTTCGAACATTATATGAAGTGGTAGCTTGAATTCTATGCAAATATGGGAAAGAAAACCCCTTTAGTGAACACTGGTGTTAGGGGCTCAATGGGCCTGAGAAAGAAGATTCATAAGTATTTTTTTTTACCTTGAAAATTTTATGATTGGGGAAAAAGACTTGCAAGCCCCAAAATTGTATCCGTACGTACCTGCCACTAGATTAATTTAAAATTCTACTAAAACTTGCTCTGAAAAGAATGATGATGCTTATTGATCCCACTGCTCTTTTTTTTTTCTTATTTTTATCAGTGCCTTTAGAAAGTGCTGTATTACCATTTTCACCTCCATGTTATCATTTTGTTTTGTTGTAAATTACACTGTATCCCCTACTGCTTGATGTGTTTGATGCTATTTTCTTGAATTTGTTCACATATTTTATTTTTTTTTAAATTTGTGTTCTCCCTTTATTAAAGCCCAAAAAGAGCGCTGTAAGTATTGTATACATAAATAAATTATTCTACGATAACACGATCTGATAAAGCTTCCTTCATTGAATTAATCACACAATTTATATAACGAGCGGCTTCTCTTCGCAAGTTTGTTTGTTGGGCTTCGTCGTCCTTTCACATTTGACAACATCACCAGCCACAAAATTGAGGTTTTTGGCGATGTGGAAATTTTCAGCCGGAATAGAGTCTAGACGGGTCTTTTTATCCTTGCTTCATTTTCAAGTACGTAGGCGTGCAAACTCCCCACCAGGCATCTACAATCGCGACCAATATCAGCTGAAATGCATTCTCACTGACTGAACACGAATTTTAGCTGAAGGTTCACGCACCACTCGTGTTCAATTTGTATACCCGACGTTGACATGCTTAAGGCAGCAGGATTTTAGCACTGCTGCATTGTTGTCAAAAGGTGTTGTTTGCGGGCAACCAGCCCCTTTTTTTATGACAATGCTGTAGTGCTAAATTTCTACCGCCTTAAGAACGTCAACGTCGGGTATACAAACTCAACACGCACACTCCCCTTGCACTTGGATCTGCATAGCGGAAACTGATCAATCGGCCCAACGGCTGCCACTAGTCAAGCGCCCGGGGAGAAAACAAAAACGCGCTTTCGCGTGATACAGTTCGGTTTTATTGCGAACGGATAATCGCTTACATTATAAGCTGAGACAGACCTTCATGCTTCTTTTACGTACCTACCGGCTTTTGGGGAGAAATGTGGTCCCAACTATAACTATAGACTACGAAGTTGAGGTTCCATACTTCGGCCTATTTGACAACGCGAGAGATAATAGAACTTTCGGGGACCGCAGACGCAGGAAAAGGGCGGATCAGGTGTTTCAGCTCCTATTTTTCGTCGAGGTACGTCTAGTGGTATAAGGCTTAGTTATATATAAGATTCGCGCATTCTTGTGAGCTCTATTGGGTTCAGGTCCACATCCCTCTTGCAGGCAAATACCTTCCAGATTGACGGTGGCGTTCTGGTTTTCCTTTAGCTGTTGGAAGCTCTCCTCGTTGAAGCTTCTGATCTTGTTCGAGGCAACATTCAGCGTTCTCAGGGAAGGGGCGTCCCTGGTGAGGTCCTCAGGGAGGGATGTGAGCTCGTTGTGCCTGCGTATACCGAACCATGCAGATTGAGAAAAATGAATTGTATGGCCTGAGAAATTCCTCAGTCAATCGACAATTTTAGTTGTATAAATTCCACAGGGTACATATACTAATAATAATAATATTAATATTAATAGTTATTTGCATACACAAACTTGATCCTGGGTGGCGTGCACGGCTGCGCAGAAAGATAAAAACCCGTACGCGAGTGCGTCTGGTAGCCCGCCACCCAGGATTCGAATTGAAAAAAAATGTACTGAGCCGGAAGACAGAAATATCTAATAGAATTTACTTTAGCAAGTTTTTTCTTCCTGATTCGAGAAAAAACAATGGTAATAAAACGGTGTTAATAATTTAAACTATGAATATAAATCACACATACTGTTTCCATGAATAACTCGCAATGAATGAAACATCGTTTACTAATGGAAATATTGTTTCTATTAAAAATGTAATAAAACAGTTATATATGAAACTTTGCTGGCTGTCTGCGGGCTTCAATTGTACTGTTCCATTTAGTGTATTTTAATATTATCAGACCACTCTTTTGAGTAAAAGAAAAGACCGAAAAATGTTTGTGCGTTTCTGCTGCAGAACCCTACACACAGTTACCGAAACAGAAAATAAGTATACCCAACATAGCCAATAGTAAACTCAGTAAAATTCTCAAAAACAAGTAACACAATACTCATTCGTTACAGATACTGTTGGGTATAACGTCAGTCATTTTGCCTTGTAACATTGCATTATGTACTCGTCGTTTCTTTCTATTTATTTTGTTAAGTTAAAGTGTTTTTTTTTAACCTATCGCTTTTATTTATTTTCAAATGAAAGCTGCACAAAACCCCGATAGGACGAGTACAGTATTATAAAAACTCACTTTAGCCCCTACATCTAGGATGTAAGCAGACATTTTATATTCAATCATCACTAATGTCTCACATCCGCCTGCACGCTACAAATATACATAAAAAAGGAGATCGCTGAAAAGTGTGTGCAGCATTTCACAGACCAGGAGACATTCGAAGAAGTTCAAGATGCCGAATGGTATCATAACTGCTGGGCTTAGATTAATATTGTTATGAGCGATATGAATCTGCCGTTATTTTCACAGAAGATCACGCCGAATTTATTTCCACTCTATAGTGAATTGCTGCAGCATCATAAATATGAGGTGGTGAAAATTCCTTGGGTATATTGGCGCGGTTGAGAGATCAATATCCCCACGAAAAGGTCAGTAGCTCTAAGAAAACTTGTTTCTTTAGGGGTTGCAACGACTGGTAAAATACGGTGAGCAAACCAAAAAAAAAAAAGCGTTTTATTTACCGCCTTGTGAGACTGAGGCCTTGTCGAATTTAGCTGAGTTTACGATGTTTGTAATACTACCCATGTATCACTACTGCGTGATGCACGCACAAGACCCTCCTACGCACAATACAATTTACCCAGGCGTACAGGCAATTATGCGTCAATAATGCTACAGTACTAGAATTAAGGATCACTACGGTTAATGGTCTTTACAGGATACAAGCAACGCCTTTTATTTTCTATTTTTCAGACGGTGATAAAAACCATCCTCGCGGGATTTATTGGCATCATTACGCACTTATGTAAAGCGGCCAACGCTCCGACTTTGTAGGAACATGCAGCCCGCCTCAATATGAAGCTGCTGAAATAAAAAGACGCTACAGCCGACTGTGCCTTCAGAAAGGCAAGTGTGCTTTTGAGCTAAGAGAAGCTAAATATTTTGGGCCTTGCATCATTACAAAAGACATCCACTTGACGTAGGAGAATATCCAAGGCATTTTGATCGAACGAAGTTCGAAAGCAAGGCACAGCTGCAGCCCTCGTTTCAGATCTTTGCATTTTATCAGCAATTCTTTGAAAAGCGAATACCAACGATTTCTTTGCACTGCGTATTCAGAAAAATCCAGATACCGGGGAATATTCACTGCAGTGTTTTTCATAAGCTCAAGAAGCTTGTTCGTTGTACAGTGTGAGGGCTTAATACAATTGTTATTACTCAGCTATATTCACTTATGACTACACGCGTGGGAGCCATTGTCCCCTCTACTTCAGCAAGATCGCTGACCGCTCGGTCACAAAGCAAATAGGCGTGTCTTGGAAAGGGCATTTCGGTGCCACTTTTCAGTATGCTTCTGACATTGAGGTGATTTGAGATATGACAAATACGTTGAAAGAGGACACATTTTTATTTTTTCAAAAAGAATCGAGACTATTCAGTTAGGGCTTGAACACTTAGTGCTGCAGTGAACCGTCACCTCGCTAATTTTGAAACATGGTACTGTCTATTATATACGTCGCGTGGCAAGGCATCATTGACTTTTTTCTGTGCTTGTTTGTCTATAATTGTAAAGGCTACCCTTGTTGCATAGGGTCCGCTCAAGTATTACAATTCGTCATAGGCATTCTCGTACTAGTAATTATCAAACAATCTCTCAATTTTTCCCGGAGGGTCATGTCCACTCGGGCAAATATGTGCGAACATACACTTTTTATTTAGGGAAATAATGATTTAAAAATTGGCACAAAATATATGAGAATTTTGAACCTCCAAGGAGACAACAAATAACTCTCTTGTTTAGGTGAGAAACACCATTCCCATGAAAAGTAACATTGGGGACATCTGTTCATTCCTTTAAGGACTAGGGACTATCCCCATTGCTAGAGTCGGTCAAGCTCTAAAAGTAAGTCATTTAATAAAATTGACGATTTTTGTCGCCAATCCCTTGCCCCGGAAGGAGCGTCTCTTCACTCCAAATTAAAGTATAAATATCAGAATCAAAGTTTAATGACACAGTGTTATTTATAACATTTCTAAGAGCGCTAGCAGCATACTGTAGTGCTTTGCAAGAAAACAAATCACGCGTTACAATTGAATGAAACTTGAAACCACGATTCAACAAACTTACCGCAAGTCAAGAGAAGTAAGCTTGGTGGCGGGACTGGGAAGCATAGATCTTTCAAAAATGTTGAGGTTGGTGCCTTTCACGACCAGCTCTTCGAGGTTCGTCAGCTGAGACAGCCATGCTGATCTCACGGAACGTATGGTTGAGTTTTCAATATCTATCTTTTTCAGATTCAGGGGCAAGCTGTTAAAATCTTCAGTGAGTTGAAGGTGGGGCATGTTGCGGAAAACGAGCGCTTGCAGCTTTGTGAGGGGTTGCAGCAGCCTCCAGGTGCCTGGAACACTGCTTCCGTTCCTGTACTCGATGCGCTTCAGCCAAGAGCTCACGCCATGGAATGGGTGAACCCCCTGTCCCACCTCTGGAAGGGAGCTCACCTGGACATTATTGAACACAAGCGTCGATGCCCTCGTGTCGATGAAGGCAGAAGGTGGGATATAATCTATTGTACTATCCTTGAGCACGAACGTGATGTCCGGGTATTGGTGGGGCGGGAAATCGCGGTTTACGTATCGGTCGAAGTCTTCATGCGTCGTGAATCCCGAACACGTGTAAATAGTGCGAGTAGACCCGTATGTTTCTACGCAGGCTGGTGTAGCGGAGGCTGAACATGCTAGGAAAAACAGCAGGGCTAACTGGAAGGAGCGCATGACTTCCGACGTGGGAGTCCTTCAGACGAATGAATCTTCCCTGCTGCGCTGCTGAGATGCGCAGGAGCAATGCCGGAAGACCAACTTAGATTTAGATTAAGATCCTCGTTTCGTATGTCACGGGTATCTGTTTTTTTAAGCTAACTTTTTTTTGTAAGTCCTTGAACATTATCGGTCATTATCAGTTGGACACGTTTGGGGGACTAGATCTTTTTTATCGGGTTAGTTTCTTGCGGAGAAAGCCATTTGGAAAGTAAACGCCGTCTTCACAGATCAAATGGCACTGTCAGCTTCATTTTTCTCGGTACTCTTCTAGAGCGCACGGATACGGCGGAGTAGTTCGAGCGCTTCAACATCTTTATACTTGAGTGGATGCGTAAGTGGTATAAGAGTCACACCGTGTTTGATATAGTTGTCAGATTCTTATAGAAAATCATTTTCCGACCCATTATCTAAATTACGCATTAAGCCTTGAGGTTTTATATTTGGATCAATAATAGACGAGTGTTGTGAAAAGTCGCATTATAAAAGAAAATAGAGAGGCCAACACTGAAACATTGTTATACAGGAATATACCATGTTGCGTAAAATAAACGAGGTAGACGGGGCTTTGGGCGATAAACTGGTATCCCGTTCACAAGGCAGAAGTGACCGCTACTTGGCTGCCACCATGTTGTACAGTTTTGACCACTAGACACGTGACCGTACCATATCCTGAGGCCTTTACGTAAAACTGAGCCGAGATTTGTAGTGCAATTGCTGTAAAAAACGTGGTAAATTATTTTTTTTTTAGTACTGTTAGCCTCAGATATCAGTGTCTAGCAACAATAAAAACCCAAAATATAGCACCGCGGCTGACGGCATCTAGCGGAAGCATTGCGAAGCTGCCCGAGTTTTTGTCGCAAAAGTACGTTTTTGACTTAAACAAACGAAACAGAACTTATCTCATCGGTACTGTTATTAAAGATCAATCAGATATTATTTGTGAGCTTTACTTCGTTAAAATCTAGACGTATAAATAAGGTAATGTGTCTAGTGATAAAAAAATGTGCAACATGTCGGCTGCCAATGGGGGTCACTTTCAGCTGCAGGTTTATCGCTGTAACGTTCCTACCTCGTTGCGTAAACTAAACAACACAAATATTATTTTTATATAGACAACAAGTAAAACATAATAAATGAGTATGCTTCAGTGCAAGGTTTGAGTCGGGTTGTACTTGACTACGAGGAATATCCGTGCAGAATTTAAACGGACAAGCCGATGCTCAGAATAAAATAGTCACCCAGTTGCGTTTTATATGTCTTATGATTGCCTTGGGTCAGAATTCTAATGGGCAGTTTATACTTGTCTGCTAATGTTAATCACAAGACAGTTAGAAAGTAAGAGAGATGAAGTGAAAACGTGCTGAACTTTACATACCTTACAAAGCGAGGAAAATGCTATGGAATGGAAACGACAGCGCAACCTTTATGACACTAGTATTATAGTAGTAAATGCAGTCAAAATAAGACACCTTGAAATAATTTTCTTCTGAACGAGAGTCAATCACAATTAACTTCGATTCCTCCCCAACAATTATAAGGGCGTTTCAGAAAGTAACAGCAAATTGGATAATTTCGAATGTGTACTTTGTGAGCCCCCTAGCCGCAAAAAGCGTTCGATTAGGTCGCCCGCATTTTAAATCATCTCTGGCCGTCTCCACCGCAAGGCGACCAAGTGGAATCGGCCACGCATGCAACACCGCGTGGCTGATATGAGGCCGACGCAGAAGTATGCGCGGGGTGTTGAGTGAATTGCGACGGGCGACAATGACAGTCAGTAAATAACTACGCGTTGCTGAACCAGAGCATTGTGTCAGTCTCCGAGGCGGGTAGAAGCAAGGGAAATCCAACTTTAATTAAAGTACGAAGGATAAATGTTTTTTCAACGTAATCGTCCTCCTTTTCAGAGTAAGTCTCAAACCGTTGAACTACCTTCTGTGCTCCTTTAGAAAAAAAAACAAAAAACAAAAAAACATCTCTTTTTGTTGCGCCTTTAGCTAGCAATAAACCGTTTCTTGAACATCGTCATCACTTCCAAATCTACGTCCCCTAAAAGCGTTTTTCAGGGGCCCATGCACATTATAATCGAAGGAAGGGAGATTAGGGTGGCTGGGGAGATGCCGTAAGATCTTAAATGTCATTCTTTGTATGGTACAAAATTTAGTTGCAGCTTTTCAGGGTGTGCGTTTTCACGAAAAGGAAGACCTGATTCAGACGAGCCAGTGTGAAGGCTTTGTATTGCTGATTTCACCTCTTCCTCCCATCGTGCTCTATCGGGCACTATTCACTGCTTCATAACATTGCTGGTAATGCTTTCCAATTTGTTTATTTATAGTCCTAAAGAGGTTGAAGCTTATTTATATACCAGAAGAGAGTCTCTACCAGATGTGTTGTACCTGGTCATAGCGATCACCGCGCGGTCGTTGCCAACTTCGCCATACCTACTTCTCGTTTTAAAACTAAGGAATCTCGAAAAGTTTTCTTTTTTAAGAAGCGATATCATGCGAAATGTTTTCTTCAAATACAGAACCGTTTTTTGTCCTTTGAGTGTTGAGCTCGTCGATGGTTGAATTTCAAGCAGACATTGTGCCAACAACAAAGATATCATATTTCCATATTAACAAGAAGCTATAATTAAAGATTGCTCATCGGCCGGTTTGTGATTGGAACGGCGTGATGGCTATAGACGATTGCAAGCTGGGCGACTGGCCGCCGCCATGTCTCTGCTCGAGCAGGCACGCCCGTGCGATTACGAGCTTGCCAAAGCTACGTTCACCCGCGCGTTGCACGCGCTTGCACGCATGGGGCACCACTTGTGGCGCCATGCTTGCAATTGTCTATACTCTGTTTCTCCTTACGATGTACCGCAGGAAAGGCCTCAAGCGCGAGCTCCTTGCTCTGGGGCACATCTCGGCGGCACAAGCTCTCGGCCTTTAAGGGGTATTCACACGGGGGAGAAATCCCGGGGATTTCTCCCCGGCACGCGCATCCCACGACGAAAACGTCAGGCTTTGCGATGTGCAAAAGCCTCGCGTTTTCATCTCGTGATGCGCGCGTGCCGGGGAGAAATCCCCGGGATTTCTCCCTCGTGTGAATACCCCTTTAAGATCGGCTGCCGGCGCTATGAGCTCGCGCTTCTAGCCTTCGTTGCGGTACAACATAAGGTGAAACGAAGTATAGCTCCATGCCCGTGCCTCACGTGAATCGCGTCATCAACCCTGGTTTTTGGCACGTGTGTCTTGGAGCGCTTTTTTTTCACGTCGTTTTTGTGCTACTACAGATATCCCCCCTTAGTGAGGAAGTCTCGTGACGAGCGTTAAGTTAGGCGGGGGTTAAAAAAAAAAACTAACTTTCTTTTTGACCGGCTTGCGACTTGGAAGTGCAGAAACGCATTGTGCCAGGACTCGACGTGATTGTTGGTCCTCGGGAGCCCTTCGGAGATTCGTTCGTAGCAGCTGCAGACATTATGCGGGAAAAGTGCTGACCTACGCGAGCGGCTCCTTCCGATGCTGGAACATGCCTTCTCTATTGGGCTGATTTTTGCCTTCTGCTTGAAGGTCTCCCACTTCTCGATAACACACCTTCCTTTCAGCTCTACTTCCTGCCATTTCTTCGCAACTAAGCTTCGGAAAGACTCATCTCGAATCGGCTTCGCGTTAACTTCCCACTGTTCCCACGAAAAAGGTGGCACATTTTTCTTGGCACCTAATTGAAAACTAACGAGGCAGTGATCGATTAAGGTGAATTTTTATCGACCGAGTAATAGACCACATAGGGAAACCAAATCCGACGAGAAGTATATTGGGTCCCACCTGGCGTGACTGTTACCTTGAAAGTGGGTGTACATCACACACTTTGCACGAGGCACGCAACACGCGATGTCTTCCAAAACACAGTGTCCAATAAGGTTATTTAAAGCCATAACGGTGGCGTCTCTGTAGTGCCCCCTATTGGAGCGGTCTTGTTGTGCCAACACAATTAAAGTCCCCTAGAAAGATAATAAGTCGGTCGCACTGAAAAAAACCCGGAAATATTTTCAAAAACATTCTGCGCTCATTGGGCATATTGGGAGCATAAACACGGATTACCCGCCACTCAAGACTACAAGCGGTGAAATCACACATAACAAACCGACCGGACGGGCATGTCGTAACAGTGTGAACGACGGCACAAACAGCTTTCTTAAGAAACAAGCAGCAACCTGCCGACAAACCAACCGCGTGACTCACGCACACTTCATAGCGTGACAGAAACGACCGCAACGTACTGTCGCTTTGACCCTCACTCTCAACTTTGGTCTTTTGAATGGCCACGTTATCTAACTCATGCTCGGTGAAGAATCGGTAGAGCAGCTGTTGCCTACGCCTAGCTGCAAGTCTTCGCATGTTCAGCGTAGCGACGCGTAATGAACCCTCAAGAGAGACTACCATTGAGCAAGTTTCAAACCACGAGCATAGCGTTCACCTATGTGCATGAAATGGAGCTGCCGCAGCATCAGACAGTCACTGTTCGTCGTCTCAGGGTAGAGCCGACGACCCGTCTCGTCCACCTATTCGGCATCTCTTCTTGCTCGCCGCCTTTTGCAGCCCCGATTCTGAACGAGGGCTGGTCACGTCGGTCGTCACTGGCGTCTCGTTGAACGGTCGCTTGGCAGCCTTGGCCTCAAATTCCATTTCATCCGCGTCTTCACCCTGGGAGGCACTTGTCGTGTCGCTCGTGGCCGGTGCCTCCTGCGCCGTCGCCTTCACTTCGCTCGTAGTTCGCCGCTAAGTCCATTTTCCTGTGCCGCAGGAGTGGTCAACGCCTGGCTTTGCATGACACACGGCGCCGTGCTGGTCTCCGCTCCCGTTGTCTGAAGCCCTGTTGGTAACGGAGCTATTGTCGTGGGCGACGCTGCCTACTCCGCCTCGGCCTCGTTCATGACGTGGCTCTTACCCGTGTCGTCAGCGGTATGGCTGGCGACGGCTCTGGCGTACTACCGCACGCAGTCCCTTGCGTCGTGTCAGAAGGCTCGACATTCCTCGCACCTAAGCACCCTGCATTCA